ACTTCTCCATTAACTGGATAGAACCCGAACAGATACGACTGGGCAGGATTGAAGTGAGGTCGACATGGCAAGAGGGAATAGACACGAAATCCTACCGCATGCAAAAGCATGTTGAATCACGCCCTTCGTCACATGAATCTGCTTTTCGGTCAGTGCTCCTGCGACTAGCTATCGTCACGCTTGACGGCCTGCCCATTTCTTCGTCACCCAATACAGTTCCCAAACAGAACGAAACTCCGGATTCAGTGGAATTGCCAAGCAAAATCAGTGACGTTGTGATGAAGCATCTCCCCAGTCGCATGGGAATTCGATGATTGGTGCGGTTGACGTGTGGATGCTTCGCTTACACCACCGATCACGTTGTAATAGCTGAAGTGGGATGTTGACCAAGGGGAGTGCCGGGGACAATACTCAAAAGAGGAGAGGCCATGTAACACCTAAATTGTTTGTGTAACTCTCGGTTTTAATAAAGAGCTCAATTAGAAGCACGACAATTGTACTTTCGCCAGGTGGGCTAGCCTCCGGGCCGTGGCAGTAGCGCCCAGGTCCTTCTGTAAGTTGACAATACATACTTTGCCCAAACATTCTCTTCCTTCGTCTTCAGGGAAGCCTTGCGGCGCCACATAAGTTCAGTTGAATTGAAAATCTGGTTACGTAAAGTACGAAATTCAAGAAGTACTTTAGAGTACTTTCGTACCAATTTTCTTGATAATTTACACACCCCCATTTTTTGTTTTCGATTTAATGGCATTATGATAAACTTGCTGATAAAAAGCAGAACGTGTATCATGGATCCATGTTTTCCTTGTTTCAAGAATGACTGCAATCACGCCTTTATCTCATCAATAAAACGGTAAATAGTTTCTTGTTTGTCCACTTGTTAGCTAAAGACTTCCCCTGTGAAATGACAAAACAACTGTTTAGTCTTTTTTCCCGTAGGCAATAGCAGAAACTCCGGTTACTTCCTCATAAGGTGACCTCTCACTAACCATGTCCCACTGGTGTGGAATTGTTGTCTTTCCCTCATTTATTTGCCCGTATTCATTTATTCATACACCCACCACCATCTTGCCATAGTTAAGCTAGTCTACCTGTCTACCAGATGTAAATTCAAGCATTTCTGAATGAATTTCAAGTTCTTAAACCTAAATACAAAGTAATTCCTGCCTTTTCACTAATAACTAGTCAATTTGACCGAGTAGATGTAATGTAGTTTAAATGTAGACCGTTATACGCTACTATGGTGCCTGATGGGTCCTCCTGATTAACTGGCGGTCGGTAAGTAGTTTTTTTTCTCGCATGTCGCTTCGCTCTCCCCCTTGTACATCACTAAATCCAAGGCTCTGTTCTTCTGGTAGTTCCACCTCCTAGACCCAGATCTATGTCAACAGTAAATTTCGCAAAAAAGGAATGGCTGACGTGAATAACATTCCACACATCAGGTACGATGTGAGAGAGGGCAGAAGGGAAAAAGTAACTGATGCACCGACTCATTGGGATGCTGTGTTGAATGCTAACATCCAGGCGGCTTGATTATGATGCCAATGTTCCTTCTCCGTATACCGCACCTTGAGGCACGATGAAAACGCTGTAACTCACTTCTAGTAACAAGAAGGCGGACGCTGAGTAAACATAGCCTCCCTCGTTTGAGGGGCACCGGAATTGGAGTCCGGGATAATGAAAACGATGGTTAAAAACGAATGTAGTGACCAAATTTAGGTGATTGTAGAGATAAAAAGGCCGTCTTGCATATTTACGCATCTAAGATTGTAAGCATAGGTTTACTTTACTTATTCACGATCCCAAGAATTCCATACCGTTTTACTCGAGTGTACGGAGAAAAGTTCCCAAATGGTGATATAACCAAAGCCAAATGTTAATTTTAATAATCTAACGCCTGTCAAACTGATTCAGTTTCAGCTTAAGCATTGGAGGGAATGTAAAAAAAATAAGGACAAGCCAAAACATTTAAACCGCACATTTACCAAGCCAATATTTTTGGAGAATGGCCAGAAGCCCTTTCACCTCTAACTAAGCAAGAAGCACGTTCTTGCCTCGTAGACAAAAGTCCTACCGATATTTATGTATGTTTCGTCAGGAAATTGATGCAAGCCCATAGAATGCAGTAAGAATACTTGCAACTTTTATATCGTCTACAGCACATGCTGAAAAAAAAGAGTCAGAAGTATTAAAAGCAGACGGGAAAACTTCCGAAACAATACTAAACGTAGGTACCCAAGTATTTAGGCAGTGAGTCGTACTGTACAGAAATAATAGAAAGATTTTATGTCGTAAAGCGACAGATGGGTATCCGGTGCTTTCGAATCTGTGCTTCACCTTTCTAGTATTCCATCCTTACACGTACCGTGAGTCTGGCACTTCGCCAAAATCTCCGAAAGACAATTGAGAGTTAAAAATGCAGCAAAAAACACCCGTTTTTAAAAAAAAAACGGATACCACTCTGTTTCAAATCAGCCAGTCAACGCAGCGCGGATCGAGCGATCGATTAGCTGCTCAAAGTCACGTGGGAGGTGGAGCGAAGTCAAAGTGGCCCAAGATAGCCCAATGATCAGAGGGGAAGTGTGAGCGCCCCGGCACTCGCTCAAGGCCACGCAGCTCAAAATCCACCGGACGTAGTCCACCTCCAAGCACATGTAGTCGATCGAAGCGCATACCGTAGGCGGGCGGACGGCTGTGAGGACCGTTCGACTGCGGGTGGTCCAGCTGGAGGTTTGGATTGCGCCGCGGATCCCAGGTCGCCTTGGCCTCGGGTCGAGCTCCACACATCTCCCACACGTCCACCATTCCCTGCGGTAGTCCGCCCAGCTCTTCGATCTAAAAAAAATGATTGTCAAGATGTTATCCGCGGATTTCATTAAAATGCGTATGTGAGCTCATCACAGCTGAAGTTTCCCGATGTGTGCTAATTGTGAAACTACACGCACCATTCTACAACTCATAAGGCGATACCATCTACTGGTCCAGCGAATTCTGCTACCTAAATTGACAAGTAAACTGGGAAGTGGAGACTTACGCTAACCCAATTTTGGAGCAAATTCCAATCTATCACCTCGACCCAAAACAAAAGGCGTTTCTCCCATTTTTAAATGTCTTCAGGAGTGGTTGTATGCAACTCTCGTAAGGATGATTGGGACCTTTAATGCAGGCATTCGTCAGTTCATCAGTTCACTCCAGCTGAACGCACAGAAGATGAGCCAAGAATGATCGTGTTCACAGATTAAGAAGATGTTCTGGTGACAAAAAATATAACAGCGCATTAATGTATTAGAAAAAACTCCCGCCGGGGGATCTTATAAATTGCCAAGCATTTTGCGCCGAAAATCCACAAAGCAGTATCGCTATTAGCTAAATATCGCCTTCAAAGATAATCAAGATTCCCCTTCGCACAGCCACCACCTCATCTCGAATGTTAACCACTGATCTCTTGAGAGATCTGTGACTTTATGCAGAAAGGCCGATTCATTCTTGTTTCGACGATACATTTTAACACAGGCACAACTGGGTTCTTAGGCTTGCAGAGCATCTATTCGTAAAATGCGCCCTGGACAATTTGTTAAGGAAGAATTTAGTCCGCTAGACGGTGACAGAAGAAGGGAAACAAGGACACTTTGTATTCAGAATCGATCTCGATTTATTCCAGTCGCAGGTGATACGCTTATGCCAAGTGAAACTGCTTTGGTGAATTGTACTGGTTATTGTGAACTTGTAGAAGCCTATTGACGACCTGCGGTTCCATCGAAGTGACAACAAATCACTCAGTTCAATTTTCCACCGGTACTGCCAAATACCTTGCACTGTGAATCCAAAGCGACTCGAAGACTATCTACTATCTGCTTTCCCACATTGGTCTTTATGGTAAATATTCAAGTCACCACAACGAGGCAAGGTGAACTCTCACATCAAAATTCTTCCCGTCTAAAGTGCGTCATACATCTTTTTCCACCCCGTATGCAAGCACACTTTCCTACTTTATCAGTACATGCCGACTGAAGGTAAGACGGCCATCCACATCCAATGGCAGATCTTGCGTTATGGTGTGTAAACGAAGGCTAGTTTAGAATGAAAGGGACTGGGTCTGCGGCAGTGATGACCGTTTTCTATCGGTCTTAGTGACACTACATCACAGTACTGGCAACCACCCCAATCTGTCAATAATTTATTGTTTTATAGTTACAAGGAAAATTAAATCAGAACCATGTCCCACTTTGAACCAAGCCTCATTTTCAATCCCAGATGTGTCTACAGCAGGATGTTAGTAAATAGATGCGTGTTTAGCGTTAAATGAATAATTCCTTTGTAAATTTTGATCACTTTCTTTCGAATGCTATGGCATCACTTACAGGAAAGTCGTCATAACCAGCAAATCGCCTCAAATATTATGTAATCCATTATGCCATTAAGGAAAAAACAGAATGGGTCTTCCTCTCTTCCTGATTATATGAAACAATGCCAAACATTTCGACCACTGCTGTTTTAGCTCAATCTTACGCTTATTTAAATAAAAATATGTGTAACCTGCAAGTCTACGGCAGTGTATTAAAGGCGGTTTGTAAGGTTATTGAATAATTTTAAAAATTTCAGTGTGTAATCAAATCAGTGTTATCTCTTTAGCACCCACCTCCTTATCGCGAATGTTCAAGTCGCCACAGAGGATGCCACAGAGCGGGCCGTTGGCAGAACTGGAGCCAGGATGGATAGCGGCCTGCATGGCCCCCCAAGCGCGTTTGAGTTGGTGCATACGTTCTTCAGCAAACTGGTTACAACTCTCCAGGTGCGACGTCCACAGGCGAACCCGCAGTGGTATCTGCTCCCATTGCCGGGCCCTTGGATTGGTGCGTAGAAGATGTGGCACGTCGAGGACCACATCCACACTCAGGAGGATACGTTGCATCGTCGATCCGGGAAAAGGAATTACCTATGATTCGGAATCACACGTCTAGTGGCTTTCAAGAATCGTTGCCAGTTAAGAGAAGCGGTAAGCTCGAGTGAGTGGAGACAGAGGCTGGCAAGTAAATGAACTGTCAGTAAAATGGAGCTCTGAATGTCCAATGATTCGGCACGGTCTCTGTCCCTTCATCATGCATCCGCCAACTCTTCTACACCTTTGTTAACAGGTGTGCTACCAGAGTCTCATGGGAAAATCATAGCCACCCACATGTTTTTCACTTTAAACATGTAACAAAAACATGTACTACCGATACCCACCTGAGAGCTGCTTAAAAACTAAAAAAACTCCGATATTCTTGGACTAGGAATGTCCTGCAACTGTTTCATGGTTTCGAACTTAATATAGCTGTTTGTGACACGACTCGGTAAAACCCGTTACCACATTTCACACAATTTTGACACGAGTCTGAGGTATAGAAAAGGATGCGCCACTTGTGTGGAATAATAATATTGAAAAGGGTAGCTAAGCCACTTTCATGCTTGTACCTTTAATAGCGTCTTCAGAGATAATCTGAACACCGGAACATAATTTAGCAGAAGAAAATACATTTCAATGGTAATAATAACTGTGCAGCCTCTCACGATTCGACTCACGCTAGTGGCACAAAACTGTTTATTCTGCTCCAGGCTAATAGCATCCCACGCCTTAAACACGCTTTTAAACAAAACTACCTCCTTACTCTCAATCTTATAACGTCTTCAAAAATAACTGAGTTAGGCCTAAAGGCCGTGAGGCGTAAAAGCAAATAATCATACAAAATATTAGAATTCGGATGCCCTATTATGCCTCAGCTTTTGATATGAAATTACCCATCTTCCAAAAAATAACTTACGGCTCACTATAGCTCGAAAAAGTTGGATGAACAATAAAAACCAATTGCACCTTACCGTAAGGTTACAATTAATTCACAAATCTCATATATTTCAAGAATTTTCTAACTTCTTCGAAAGTAATTATAGAATGATAATCTAACCCATTTTACATGAAATGGAGGAGGTGAAGCAGACTACCTTGAAGGTGTCGGGGAGGATGGAGAGACCGGAGTGCTTGAGGATGCAGATAATAGGAAAGTAGTCGCGCCTTTGAACGTCCTGAGGATGGAAGACCTCATAAAGCGAGGTCAATTGCTCCTTTATGTAGGCCAAAGACTCCTTCACCACCTCTTGCAGGCAAACCACGTGGAACTTCTCGCTGCAAATCGCAAAGCACCGAAATGCAATTCTGGTACCTCCGGATGGATCCAAAGGAGAAGCACGTGATGTTAATTCAATCTCAGTTCTAGCTTCAATGAGGTATCTAATTTAAATAGCCATATTTTCATGATTCAAGTTCTAAAAGAAAACTCATTCAGTTCAATAGGCTAAACGAAGAAATATGGAGGCTTGTTCAGAGGATTTGTATGAAGTATTGCTATTCAAAATCAATGCTAAGCGGAAATTAAGTGTACAAATAAACTGACATCTCTCTGAAGATATGACAAGTTTAAGAAGGCATAAAGTGATTAGTGCAAAACAGTTGTTAAACATACCTACCCACAGAAATCAACTACACACACAAACGAATCCCACCTATCAAAAGACAAGTTGCTTGCATCACTTGCCACATTTTGTGAGTCCGCACTGCAGGATAGAAAACAGGAAATCCGACCCCCCTCACCTTCTAATAAGCGCGACGACCGCGGGTGTTCGAAAGTCGCGCGACTGCACACTTAGTCCATCGATATTCCAGGAGAGCAGACGAAAGAGGTGTGCGTGCTGCTTGTCCACCACTTCCTCCGTCTCTTCCCCTTCCTTTGCCACTACCAACTCGTCACTGTCCGAGGTCAAATCAATAACGGGTGCGGAGGACCAGGATTGGGGTTGGGGTCTAACGGACACGAAAAAAAAAGCCGTTAGAAAAGCGCCCTACCAAAATACTTGTTGCTGTTTTATAAGATATTTCTGAGGTCGAGAAATATCAAAAGTGATTCAAAAAAGGATGGAAATGGGAGTAATTATTCGAAATACGTGTCTTTAAATCCAAAGCCTACATTGGTGCTTTAATCCTCTACCCACAAGATCATCTTTATGACATTTTAGGTGAACGTCAAAAGTTCTTCTGGAACCACCGACAATAAAAGAAGTAGGTGACTCAATCTAGGGACCAGAGACCATAAATGACGTCTTTTTAACTTGGATTGATTGCAAATAAAGCATTTTTCTGTTACGTCCTTCATAAACACGCAGCACAGTGTCTGAATAACACTCTTAGGCGGCCACTTAGACAATGTGAAAATAGGTGGGGCACATAGGTCCCTAAAATCTGAAATAAGTAATCTGTGTTTTCTTATTTTCCCACAGGATTGGGCGTGGGCTTTTTGGCTTCGTTTCTTTCTTCCAAGCGCTACCATTTGTTTCGGGATCAGAGGCACGGATTTAACGCTTATTCATAAACAATTGTGCCTTCTAGTAGGGTTGCGTCTTGAAGAAGCACTCCTTCTACCACCTATTTACAACTGCATTTCTTCCAAAATAAAATAACTTCTAAGAATATACTCAATCGTCAATCTCCTACTGAGGTATATTTGCAGTTCACTTGGGTATGCGATTTTCGCGCGATGCTCGTGTTTTGAACATTCACCACCACACTACCGGTTTTAAAATCATCTCCTTGACAAAGATTTCCCATCTCACTTTTCACATTTTGAGGCAGGAGCTTGACTAAAAGTATGCTCTTCAGTCAAGCACATCCAACTTGTTGGAATAGCTGAAGCACTACTCTGACATAAACCACTTTCGATGCCTCTGATGACAGCATGATATCGCAGTTAAAACAAAAGATAATTCACAATGCGAACTCTGGGCACGAAGTAAATCTTTTCTCAAAACGAACTTTCAAAGAAATACATCTTCAATCGAAAAATGATTCAAAATTATGGTGTGTTTGAGGATCAACCCCCCTTCTTCCTCGTAGTTCAGTAGACTGATATTTCCGTGGGATAAAAGTAAATATGACCTTTGTGCATTGCTCTATTCCTTCAATGGCCTTGCTAAGCCAATCAAGACATCAAATTCGGATATTTTATGAAATGAAAGCCTCACTACCTGCTTCTCTCTGGTAAACCGCCCATGGTCTCGTAGAACCGCTCAACTGCTGCCTAAAGTGGGAAGTGCAGTTAATAATTGTTTATACACATACTGATAAGGTTTAAGTAGAAGCATTTGACTTTACCTCGAGGTTCCAAGATACCTGTTGGAGGAACATCATGGCTAGGGCGTTGTTGGTGTTGGTGAGCTGGGAGAACAATTCGCAGCGCTTAAAACACTCGTCTTCTGAGGGAAGATCATCCGGACTATCAACGTCCATGGCGTTTATCAATCTGAAAGGCAAAAAGCCATGTATCAACCTCCATTCTCTACATTTCCTACCGATTCAATCGTCTAATTGAAACGTTGAGACTTTTGGCAGCCAATGTCGCTGAAAACTACATAATCTCGATTTGGACGACTTTGTTTTCTCTGTAGAAGACTACAGAAAAATCACAAATCGCTCAACCAACTTAGATCTTGGTCCAGCTTCGTTAAGGAGTGGACCTATTTCACTTACTTAATGACTGACGCAAAATGAATGACGTTCGATGGGACAAAATGATGCAGCTAGGCCGGTTAGTCTATACAGGCGGTCACCTCACACCACACAGTGCATCGGGAAGAGAGGGTAAGTTAGGATAGCAAAGGCACCTTTTTCAATACGAGTGCATATGAGGGGTAACTGTAAAAATGATCACAACGAAAACAGTAGTGGAAGCAGTAGCAGTGGCAGTGTGAGTAACAACAACTCTAATAAAATTTTTATTCAAGGAGGAAGAGGACACAGGGGGAGAGAGGTAGGTATATCCCCATCAAAACAGTACGGCGCGTAGGGATACACCAGAAGCTGCATAAATGCATGTCTTATAAAAATGCAACAATAAAAGATGGAGACAGAGAGGGAGAGAGAGAGAGGAAGAGCAGCTCGCTCAGCTAATCGGTTTGCAGATTGAAATCGATAAGGGAGGGGACTGAAATGACAATAACATGAGAATGGCGGAAGACAGTATAGGTGGTGAGGGTGGAATGAATCATAGATCTCGGTTTGTGAGCGGAGTAGCAACGCGGTTCCGAAGATCAGTCTCAGCCGCCTGTTCAAGGGAGACCGTAGAAGAGGCGACAGAAGTGTTGGAGGCTTCCCTGCGATGTCCTGGCTTGAAATCGACTTCTTCGGTGCTTGAGCTGTAGAGACTGCAGATGGAGTTGGAAGTGGAAGAGGTCTCCGAAATAGCTCGCTCCGACTGACCGCGCAGGCGAATGAGCTCGTTCTTGTAGTCCTCGTAAATAGACACGAGTTTGGGATGGTGGCTGCTCATTGCCTGGGCCAGATAATCTATAAAGCGAAAACTAAAAGCTTGTCATCCAACCATTTTCACCTTGACAAATGGCAGAAACATTAATCTGCGAGAAGCCATGCATATTTCTATATATTTTGATGGGATAGCCAAGCAAGATAATAGTTGACCAAAGGTCATAGATAAAAAGGATCTCATTGAACTGCTCATATGTACGTATTAGAAAGTAAATAAACTCAAGGAGACGGAGTCAACCCACAACTACAGGGACAAATTTGCGTTATAAATTGTGGGAGAGCCAAGAAATACTTCTGATTTTTAAATTAAGGACCAGAATTTTCAAAAAACAGATCGAAGAGAATTGCCAAACTCGCCCATTCATCTCCTCGAACAGTACAAGGAGTCATCCACTTAGGCAAAACTCCTCCTGAAGTAAAGAGCTTCAAACACTACACCTTGATATCAGCACGAAAGTATCTTCAAGGGAATTTGTGGTTGCTCATAAGTTAGAAAAAGCGTCACCGTTTTGGCAATCAAATACGAAAGGTGACAATGACAAATCAGGGTTTTCAGTGGAGTAGACATGCATAAAAGTAGAATGCTCCCCTGGCAGAAGTACAGGCAAAACCAAAAACCATATTTTTTATTGCATAAGCAATAGCAGCCAGTGCAGGCGTCGTGATACAGTCCGGTGCAGTCCAGACACCGTTACTCAGGGTGACTGACAACAGCATTTGGTGGATGTCGAAGTTTGTCGTGGACGAAGGTGTAAAATTCGCGACTACTCATATCAACAGAAGACTTCAGACACTGTTTGTGTGGAGATGAGGAGCTCAACTCCTCAGCAATAAGACATGACTCAATGGTGTAGATGTTTCAAGGACGGTTTCAAGTGTATCTATCAGTGGCGATCTCGACCACCATGGTTCGTTGCCAGTCTGTGGGTGGAGCACTTCACTTCAGACGCCTAACTAACAAATGGCCAGCTATGCAATTGAGTAAGACAAGATTTTCCATGGGGACGGCAAGCATGACCATTCGCGTATACTCGCGATTTTGAGACGTGAGCGTACTCTGGGTAAGAAAATAACCTGACACAAGTCGACTGTCTCAATACAGTTTAGACAATCTGCTGATCCTCATTCGTCAAAGCTTTTGGTACAGTAGTTAGACACTGGTACACGAGGCGATGTGCAAAATGAACGCAAGTATCACCAATTGGGGACTATTCACCTCCGCTCACTGTTGTAAATTCAAAATTTCGGGTTCACTCGGGCACCGTTCGTACCAGTAGCTTTTCCATAGGTTGAACGGAGTAAAAATACTATACCAGTCTGCAAGAAAACTTGGAAATAGCACCAATTTGTCAGCCGCCCATTAAAAATCCAGCCCGAGCAAGTTTAAACAAAACACTGGAGACGTAGTAGCCAGGAGGAAAAAAGGTAAAGAAAACTGAGGTCCTTTAAACGAACCCGGTGTAATGACGTCAGGGTGGTGAGAGCCCTCCTTGGTGCCGCCAGAAGGCAGTAATGCAGTGACCTCCTCGGTGGAGAGGTGATATGAAGCAGTGAGAAGACGAACCGCATCATCCGCTGAAATCGATCGCGAGGCGAAATTATCCGTGCCGTCACAGCCACCGTCCCCGATAGGTACAGCAGTAGAGGCACAATTAGTGGTCGTTGTGTCAAAAACCTACACCATGAAGGAATAGACAAAACACAGTTTAAATGCCCTCACGCTACGAAACTTTGCTTATCATGTTCAAGAATACCTGTTGAACAAAAAAACGGACCTTCCAGATCAAATTTTCACTGGTAAAAGTGAATGGGCTATCGTAAAACCAGCATGCCGCTAAATGCTATTGAAAATATCATGTAGATCTGTGCACAGATTGTGTGTGCGAGATAGAGAGCTAGCCGAGCACGACGACGAGACTTCGCATCACAACTAAATTTAAATTGAGAAAAATAAGGCACCAAACTTACGTTTACACAGAAAGTTAGGAATTATAAATGATATTAATATCTGTTTGACCACTGAAGGTCACGAGGAGGGAGAAGTGATGAAGTAAGAGCAAAAAACGAAGTGTAAAATACACCAGGCGCGCAAACAGCGAATTGGTACATTGGAGATTAAAGCTAAGTAAGCGCTTCAGAGCACAGGTCTGCACGGGAGAGAGCGGATTGACAAACGGGGGAGAAAACATTAAGCAGAAAACTTGCCATGCGTCAGGAATTCGCTGACTACCTATTAGAATGACAAAATCTTTCACATACCGCAAAACCACCCGAATTTTCCCGTCCTCTAATCCTTTTACTGCTATTGCACAAGAAATCACTAATTCACAGTTTTGATATAATAGAGTCACTTAAAGATAGCTGAAATCTAACACTGCTTAAAATCGAGTTCCTCAAAAGGCAGCATCAAGATTCTAGCCCTAAAATCCTACATATTGTAGTCAAGCATGTGCTGAGAGAAGCAATGTGGGTTAAATATACATAGGAAACTCATCTGCTGAATGATAGAACCTACCTGAAATGCCAGTTGCATAGCAACAGAGGGCGAAGACGAGAACATTAGGAAGCAGAGATGAACGACCAAGATACGAATGTCCGGGTGACCATTAGAGGCCTAGCAGAACACATACAGAAAGACAAAGCACTTTAGTCTGCTGTACAATTGTCATAACCTTCAACTCTCCAATTCATACAATATCTAAGGGACGCCCGCCCTCCCACCAATGGAATAATCTATGGGTAGTCTCGAAGGTTTGAATTTACTCTGTTGTGCACGCCAGACGGAGGTCCTTTGATCCTGCTATTTAACATAGACAACCGACCTATCACATGACTTTTGGTGTTTATGTACCATTAGGTGTTACAGACTCCGTGTCGAATGCACAAATAAATTAGCCTTACTTTAGGAAGCGTAGCCACCACCTTTCGAAGCAGGGTGACTTTGTCTCGCGGCGTGTCTCTGGTAGCCTCGCAACCAGAGGGCAGGAAGATGTAGGCCAATTTAGAGGGTGTCAAGGCCTCAGAGCACCCTGCCACCATAGTTGTCGCGTACCACTCGCGCGCAGCCTGGGCCATGGAGAGGAGACGTTCAGTCACGTAGGCTACCTGGCTGGTTGAGATTTGACCCTCGGATCGAGGCTCGCGGAACCTGGGAGGACGAACAAACGAACTAAGCCTTGGCATTTCCCAAATTTGTTCGCTTTCCCAAAACAAACACAACGAAATTTTGGACTACACCGATTCGATATATACTTGTAAATCACATGTTAGTGGTGCATGTAACCCTGTTCTAGAATTGCAAGAGTTACGTTGATGATACAATGGGTAAAAGATAAGCGAGAAAAAACTGAAACTAGCAGAAGTGTTCCGGAGACCTCACGGTGCCCTAGCAGGACCAAGAAAGGTTGACCTTTAGTTCTTAAAATTGCGTTCACGTAAATACTCGAGAGATGGTGTTTTAACTTCGTTCTGCGTTCAGCGTAAGCCCTCTCTATTACCATTTCCGCAAACAGTCTTTGTGAAAAGAAATCGCATGAAGCGAAGTGACCAATTCCCACCCATCTCAAATAACGTTAACTTCTTGTTAATGCTATTCCGACAAAACCGAGAAGTTATGGAACACGCAAGCGAATCTGTAATACAACTAGTCGTCTGTGTTCCAATTATAGACTAAAATGGCGTGCATCCACGAGCCCAAAGTCTAGATTCATCAATTCATCTTGATGCATCCATTATTAAGTCAAGCATTTGGAGGAAAGCCTCTATTTATCATGAGGAAATAAGAATCGGGAGGTGTTAGTGGTTAAGCAATTCATTTCCCATTAACCAACTTGCTTGCGCAAAGCATAGCATTAACTCTAATTCAAAGGGCAAAACAATGAGGTAGGACCTACAGATACTTTGTGAGTTTGCCGTACTCATTGATATGACAGGCCATGGGGAGATTAAACTGGATAGCCTTACGAATGCGGTGACAGTCATCGAAACTGAGTTCCGTTGTGGGGAGGTTGGCGGCCCTGGAAAAAGGCGGGGGAGAGAATGGTACTAAACAACTCAGACGAACCCTAGCAGGTGGAGATTATAATGTCCACTTATTCTATTCAATCATGGGGAGTAGAAAATATTGTCTTACTGGCATTCACCTGCACTGGGCTCTCAATTTTCCACTCTAAAGTGATGGTGTGGCGCCCGTGTTAGTCATACTAGCACGGACACCTTTGATAAAAACTCGGATTGAAATATCAGATAAGGCCGAAACGATTAAAGTATTGGCAAGAAGCACGGGTCAAACCACCCTGTGAAACAGGCAAACACTCCCTACATATCCTCCTCTTATCGTCATTGCAAAAAATTTTTTGAGTGCAACCCATTGATTCCCAGTTTATTTAAAAGTTTTCAAACAGTAACAACTTCAGTGCGAAGTTACGATTTTATTAAGCTTCCGCATGAATGTCCGAGTTCGTACAATTATCCACTCGCGTGTGATAAAGGCCTCATTTAGGGTTTAAAAAAAATCACAAACTTGCTTTTCATATATTAAGTGTATATAATGGATGGCTTATGAATGAGCAAACACTCGTCCATCGCGCAGATCTTATCCAAAATTGATTATAATGAAAAAAAACCAGAACTTACTTGGCCATCACGGCACGCACATTTTTAGCATAAAGTTGAGGATCTTCTTTCTCCACTTCATTGGGGATATAGACCGGTAAAAACTGATTAAAGAAAACAAATTAAAAAATAGTGCAAATTAATCGGGCTGAAAGTGCCAAATCTATGGACCCCATCTACAAAAAGACCTCTAGCGGCAGTCTGATCATCTAAGAAAGTTCACCTCAATTTCCAGTGTTATGTAAGGCTGAAGAGCAGTAAGCCAGAGCAGCTCGAGTCTAGAAGAAGCAGATAACAATAACCGCCTTGAGTATGACCTCAATAAATGACAATGAAATTTGAGCACGAGTTTGACTCACATCCCGGGACCATCCCATGTCCATGTTATGCTATCCTGTAATGAGAAAAAAGCCTCAGTCTCCGGCTGGATAGATGAAGAATCATGTCTACTAAGGCGAAATTCATTTAAAGTAACGATTAATCACCACTATTTACGCAGTGTCTGCCTCCTCGTAAAGCGTTGTCACCTCAGCGAGCGGGTAGCCCCGAAAAGATAAGGGTATCAAAAGTAAACAATGCACAATGCCAGAATTTGGTTGCAATAATGCTGACTGCAGAGCAAGCATTTGGGGTCTCGATTTGGTACCACAACGCAAGGACAACGTGCATATTCTCAAAAAGGTACCAGAGGTAATTGAGGCGATGTTTTTTTCCCACGTTACATCACTGTTAAGACAGCGTTTGAAAAAGTGGAACATACATTCGTGTTTCATAATAACAGAACAGTATATATTTAAAATCGATGCTTATTGCTCAGAGCTGTTTAAAAAGTTTAAGTTACTGCCTATTTTCGCCGTGAAACACAAAACTCTCCTGAACGCTTGAGCTGCCAGCAGAGAGACCTTTAAATGATTTGCTATGTTCACCCAAGAGGATAGAAAAGACAACTGTTTGTGATTGAAAAATGAGATAATCGAACCGCTTAGGGACAGCATTTTGTTTACTTTAATTGAGATGCAAAACAACACCCCTATTTCACCGAATAAGACACCAAATGAGATAGTTCCCTCAACCATTTAAAGTTGCTTATTACAAGAATAGCAGATAAATGGCAGATAAATTGCATTCTATTCATGTATCACATTGGGAGGAGACCTAGTGCCATCTCAAGCTATTCACCCTACAAATCATAATTACAGACTAGGTAAGGCGCGGTGCGGCTGTTGTGACGGAAATAGCGACGACATTGACTTTTTGGTTTATTCAAAAGTGACTTGAGGATATGCAGTCCTGCCGCAAAGCTGGTATGACCTCTTGAAAACATTACAACACCTTGTGTATGGGTAATTCCGCCTTAAACTGAAATTTTTGGCCCAATAAATGGAATTTGCAGTCAAAAGTTGAGCTTTAATAATTCAAAAACGGTAACCAACATTCGGAAGTGAACATCATTATCTGACATATATGAGCGTGAATCAGGACCAGAAAGACAAGTGCAAATACTCCTCGACTTACCACCGCATAACCCCATCGCAAAATTGCCGGTTGTACAGGACATCCAACGGTGAAGGCTCCTAAAACGCATCGAAGGTGACGGGCCTACAGATTGGCAGCGAAACCATGACACAGATTCCACGCACCTTGCTTGTAGTTAATCAAGCATGACCGGTTCGTACAAGTGCCCTCAGGAAAAATGAGGACTTGTGGCCACATGCCATTGGAGAGGGCTCGATGCCTAATCTCAGCGAGCGTATTCTGCCGCGATGACGGGTCATCCCGATTGACCAGGATGGGCTGAGTCATCTTTATAAATGAACCAATGGGCGAAAGCGCCGTCTCCGTCTTACCTACAACAGAGGGCATGCCCAGCGAGAGAAAGACAAGAGAGTCGTAGAATGAGGAATGGGGTGCCAGCACAAGAATCGGCGCCTCCTCACAGCTGGCCCGCCTGCCCTTATGACCCACCCATATGAAACCGCCGCTGTAGAAAAGCATGCGACCGCAGAATATGAAGGCTGGCAGGAGAATATGCTTCCGGAAACCAGCCATAGGTTTTGAAAAATCCATCCTTCGGGTGGCCAATTCGCCAAAGAAGAGGGTGAGGAAGAGAAAGGTTAACATGAAAATGAGACGAAAGGGGAAGACGAAAACAGCGAAAAGCCACAGTTGCACTCGACGAGCTGGAGAGATGTGAATGGAGTGGACAAAGGGGTTTTTCAAAGCTGTATCGTGGAATGATGTCTCATCGCATAGTGCTCTGTCCAGTTCATCCATTACTTCCTGCAGTCCAAAAAACCCCATTACTTGTGGCTGTTTTCCGCCAAAAACCATAGATTACATCCGCAAAACTTACTATCTCACAAGCGCGATAACAGATTCTAGAAAACTTTGCAATAATCACCAGCGCCTTTCATGAATTTATTGGGTGTCACTATAAAAAGCGACCATGTCGCACCTATTTTCGGTTCCAAATTTAATAATAAATTGACATTACTTACACCACTCAAAATTTAACCGCGTAGATGACACATACAATAAAACGGTATCTTTATAGAGTTTTGGGAATAACAGTAATATGAAGAATGCTACACTTAGATGATGCGTGCTTGAAGTCGTGTTGTACTCTTTCAGGAGACTGGAATTCGAACCGACAACCTATCTCATTCAACTTCAGATTACGCGTTAAGGCTCAATTTCACCTAAGAACTTCCTGAAGCCCAACTTCTACAGGGACTAGATGGACGTAATGCTACATGAGACACGAGTTTTGGATAAAAATAAAACTGTTTTGATATTTACACGGAGCTTCCCACTGAATAGGAAACAAACCAATGTTGGTGGAAAAGTACAAGACACTATGCCACAGTAAGGATATAGCCGACTGCAGACTTGTTAGCAATAAGCCCTTCACAAAAAAAATTGAACTCACGAAATGCTGACAACCTGAAGTCGTTTGACCAACCTGCCAGCTACAAGCAAAACGACGAACACCACAGTAACCAATGTGAGACCGAGACCGCCATGCTTTGGCATAGGCCACTAGTTGATAACCAATAGATTAACCCCAATCTCCATCTGACACCTTGGAAAGCATCAAAAACTTATTTTAGATGGTCTACAGGGTTTTAATGAAAATTCACAACGTCCGAAATGCCAAAAGAACTATATTTGGAACTTACGAGACCTGGAGAATTTACTCAACTCCAAAAAATTCTGGTATAAAGCTTGATTCGACGATTCGCCAACATTCGAACCTAACGTCGATTGCATTAAAAAAATAGGGCAAAATTTTATTTAAGCTGGAAGAAAAACATAGATTGCCCTAACTTATTTAGCGGTATTCAATGATGGTGGAAACTATAGGTACACAAAAGAACACAAGCGATGTATGTAAGATGTGACTTAAAGTAATGTTTTAGCCCTCACAATGCGTCCCCACATAGCTTTTTAGCTAATAGACATCATTTTGTGCAAACACCATAGAAGCCTAAAAATCGGGAATGACACTTAAAGATAACAACAATTTTCGCGGATTCATTGAAGAATAGAAGTCAAGCAAAACATCAAAGAAATGTAAAGCGAGAAATTTTCAAGTTGATTACCACAATAAAGTATATTGACGCTGGCCCCTCAAAGAGAGCACTACGCTTAAATCAAATTCTAAAGAACGAAACCTTTTGGGTAGACGTCTACAATTTTACTACTCGACAGCGATGCACTAACTTAACCAAGGTGTGCGACCAGGCTGCTTTATGCCAATGATTCGCAGCCATGACTTCAAGTTGTAATCTGTAAGGTGTAAGGTTGCATTATAATATGGTATTTCCTTATTGGAAATGTCTCTGTCTGCAAATACGAATTAACAGGTTTTCATGAAACTATTTCCAGTGCGAAGGCCACCACGGTATTTTCGTAATCGCGGTCTTTTTGGTTGTCTTTCGTTATGCTCTGGTTGGGTTTACATTGTCGCCATTTGGGATCAGTTTTCAGATGCACCCGCGTTTTATCTGCGAAGAAGCACACTCTTCCGGATCTTCCTTATGATTTTGGGGCGCTTGAGCCTGTTATTTCTGCCGAAATCATGAAGTGCCATTATCAAAAGCACCACGCAGCTTATGTAAATAACCTGAATATCGTTGAAGAAAAGATGACGGAAGCCTTGCACAAAGGCGATGCTTCGACAATAATATCACTGCAGGTGCCATTATAGGCTTTTTGCCTCCGTATTTGGTGTGCTTGTCTTGGGTAAACTTGCTATTATTTCCGCTACAGCTCAATCAACATGAGCATTACCCACGAAGTTTTGTGTTCTTTCACTGCCATTTGTGGCATGCCCTTGTGCCGTGATTTTTAACTGTCTATTTGTCTAACTTCCGTATTATTGGCGTTTATTTTATGTCCCGAGGCGATTGGTAGGAGTTTAAGGCTCCCGGGTGATAGGCATCATTTCTGTAATATAAAAGTATTTGGTTTTATACCGATCGCTAGTTTGTTTTGGCTAATCTGGACCAATGTCTGTAGTGTGGTTTTCTATCGTTCAGCCCGCATTTAAATTCAACGGCGGCGGTCACATCAATCACAGTATCTTTTGGTGCAACCTGTGTCCTACTGGAGGCGGTGAGCCTAGCGGACCTCTGGCTGATGCCATTAAACGCGACTTTGGTTCTTTTGAAGCGTTTAAGGAAAAGATGACCAACGCCACCGTATCCGTTTTTGGGTCAGGTTGGGGATGGCTTGGGCTCGAGCCGAGCTCTGGTAGACTGCGTATTGCAACGTGTGCCAATCAGGACCCTCTTGAGGGAACAACAGGTATGTTATTTAGTTTTATTCTATCCCAATACCATTTGCTCCTAACTTAATGCATAGGTAGCTGGGTAGCCTTGCTGTCAGCGTTGTCTGTTAATGGCTCGTTGGTTCTTGCAACCTCTTCTGCTCTATTTTAACGGTGGTGTCAAAAGGGAACCTTTTTATATTGATGCTTTTCTTCGGTTTGCTAGGTCTTAAGCCTCTGCTGGGTATTGATGTTTGGGAGCATGCTTACTACCTACAGTACAAGAATCAACGACCTGATTATGTCAAGGCTATTTGGAAAATCATTAACTGGAAGGATGTGGCCGAACGCTTCGCCAGGGCCCAGTAGTGGTTTGCCCTTTGTAGTCAAAGGATTGTCGTGTTTATGCAACCCTTTCTCGGTAGTTTGTCATTCTTAATATTACATATTTCCATTTTATGTGGCAGGCCTCATTGATACTGATCCTTGTTTAGTCTATCATTCTAAGTAAAAACTTTTGTGTTCAGTTTTTTACCCACCACTGGTGTGGGAGGTGACCACCCTCTTAAAGAAGTTGAAGACTAGGTCGTTTTGAAGCTCTCAGAGAAAGTTTAATCAATTTAAAAGTAACAAGACCTCATTCAGTCGTTTTATATGCTTATTCCCCCTGGATGACACTGGTTACGCCATTTTTCACGTGCGTTGACCTGTACGCGTACATGTCCAGATGTTGCGACCATGTACTTTGTGTACCTGGGTCAGAAAGCCAATGTAAACGCGGATCCCTCTAAATGGTAAACGCTCGGGCGCATGCCCTCCGACAACCTGGATTCGTTACCAGGCCCCCACGTATCAAGGGAGTGGTGGGCGGTATGGTGAGAAAGTGGACCTACGGTGAAGTGGAGAGATTGGGGGACTGGTGTTACTTGGCTCCTACTGCTGGACACCACTGTCTTCGCTCCGTCCTCACATAAATTTTGATTAAAGAGCAAATTGCTTAATAACTAGCAGATCGTGCAAGGTGTGCAAGAATATGGGTCGAATCCCCAGGGTTGTAATCGTCGTTGGTGATGTGCTTCTCTCCGGGACCGTTTCTTCACACGCTTTTGTGGAGTCAGGACTGGATGGTGTACCTCCCCAAAAGTGTTCTCTAGAGTCTATCCGACTTGCGAAATTGTTCTTTCAAGTATGGGTTTGTCCCAAATTTATCTTTGTTTAATGGCAAATCTAAAACTCGTCTTTTGGTATATATTCTGACCTCTCTTCTGATCTTGGTTTCACAATGACTTAATCTTATCCGGGAAGTAAGAAAATGTCAAATTAGAGCACTGTAGTTTACCTCTCTTTAGGTTAGATTTGTGTTACATTAGAAGATGCACACTTGTATAGTCACTGTACCTATCAAATTCATCAGGAAAAGGTTGGTTTTTGTTGCGTGTATTTCCATAGGAAGCAAGGCTATGTTCTACTATGGAGGAATCGAGACCGATCAGTCACAACCCTCTTGCAGCGTCAGTTGAAGGGACAAGTATTAACGTTATAATAAATGGTGCAGCTTGAACTAGAGACGAAAGGCGAAGGGTGCGAACGGAAGAGGAGATCTAATGATGAGAAAAGGAAGGTGCGCATTAGTGGCAGTACCACCAATGCCACGCCTAGCTCTTGCCACCATCGCAGATACAGCATCAAAAGGCACAGTAGTCGGCCGGACCAGCTAGAAGACTGACTGACTGATGCCTTGTCGGACTTATAAACACATTTCTCATGATGCGACATCTTTTCGGTCTGGTGTAGGTGTTGTACGAAATGGTGGTCATATTGTGTCGAGTGTGATTAGTTGGCGCTATGAACTGGCGCTTTAAGCAATACACTATTTTCTGTCTATTTCTTTGTGCAAGCTTATGGTCCAATCCGACAACTACGCGGCCAGCTAGGGATCCACCACAGGTCCGACACCATTGTCTCCAAAACGATTCTTCCAACTGAATGGGGATAATCTGAACACGTCTGGTGTTAACCAAACCCATGAAAGGGGCCGACTATGCTTCGATGATGGGCCGTTCGGGTTTGTGGCACACCCTGTTTCACAACCTTAACGAATTCCAATGACAATGATTTGACAAAAACTATCAGGCATTATTGCAAGCACCACTAATACAATGAATTGTGGAGGTCCCTCTTCTCGTACATTTTCGCCGACACCTAATTTCACTTTTATACCGGCATTGGCTTCGTGTTTCAGTTTTGCAAAAAAGCGTCGATCACAAACAGTAAAGTATCCGCCATTCTCGAAATGGTTCTGCTATCCACTTCGTATCAATTTCCCTTTTCCTTGGCACGAGATTTGCACCCACAACACTGACCAGATAGTTACAGGTAAGCGTTTTCGTGAATAAATATATTAAATACCGATTTGTGAAAGTGCAGGACATCGCTGCAGGGACACCGCTTTGATAGAGTTACCCGAGCTAGCATACAAACATGAACGACGTAAACAGACGCACACAAAGAGAACTTTGGTAGGGCTGTAGGTAGAAACTAACGGTTGGTGCATTTAATCTCAACGTGATGAAATGAAAAAAAAAACCAACAATTAATTTTACTGGAAATGCGTGAGCAAAAATCCAATGGGCGAAGTACCCGACAGGAGAATAGTCATAGTAATTGAAAGACATTCAATGCGTAGAACTATACAAGCATATCAGGGTTTTTTGTCGGAGAAATCCTTTAGAATGTCTCGCAAATGCTCGTTATCCCTTAGCTTCACCGGACGATTGTTTTGACGTTGACCACGCCGTTTTTGCTTGATTGCTGGAGTCTAAATAGCACACAGCGATGCAATGCGTAAAATTGGAATAAAAGCTGTGATGAGAGGTAAGTGCATGTTTACGGTAGTACATGCACGAAAAACCAGAACAAACGTTTACGGGGGATTTTGAGAACACGACACCAAAGTGGGGTGTATGTTAACATTAGGTGGGGCGACACAATTATAATGATACTAACCAGTTTAAAAGAAAGTGTCGATGCTGTTACGGGTCTGCATCTGGGACTTACAAATACTTTCTTGTCAGCAGACATGGACATGATGCCGTTTCTGTGAAGGTATTCCTCAATTTTTCCCTCATGCACACCTTCCACGCTGACAGCTCGCCAAAGCTGCTTGAATTCTGGGAAAATTGGAACGGCGAATAATTGGCGCTTTCAAAATCTGACGGATTACTTTATTCAGCCACATGGGATGTCGCAGCTAGGAACAAATACTTTCGTACCCATTAATGGGTACCCGCTAGGGCCTTAATCGGGAATGCATTACAATTTAGACAAGTAATTGCATACTTAGACTGCCTCGGGTTCATGGTAACGATAAAAGAGAGCAGACGGACTTACCATCTTCAACATTCAGGTCGAAGGACTTGTCGTTAAAAAATAGCACAGTCTTTTTGTCGTGAGGGGTAGTAACTTGCACTACTGTATCCCCGAGACTCTATAATTTGTAAATTATGAATCAATTAATGAAGTTTGGCAAGAACATAAAGCGCTGCTTTGACCAAGAAGTGGTTTTTCTGAATTTCGGGGCAAATTGGATGAAAACTTATAACATGAACGAGCGAAAATATCCAAGTAGTTTAAGAGAATAAGAGTGCTGATGCCTAACTTGTAAAACATTACAAAAACCCAAAGACATTATGAAAGTAGATTAATTGAACCAAAGTTAAGGAATATGGTAAGGGTTATCAGTTTTGGCTCACTTGAAGAACCTTTTCAGCATCAGGAATTGCTTCGCATATATCGTCAAGATAAATGCCACCTAGTCCCCTGATTTCGTGCCTCTTCAGAAGTTGATACAAGTCATTTCGGGAGCGTATATCATATCTCGGCATAAACTTGAACTTTTTGTCTGGAGTAGAAGCTATCTTGGGGTTGTTGGGGAGAGCCTGAAAACCAAATCACAAATTACGACAAAATGAGGGATGAATTAAAATTGCTTTGCATAATAAAGATCCCAATAATAAAAAACCCAGGGCTGGTCGAGTGTTTGAACCACTTCGTTCAAAAAAATGGAAAGAATTCAAACCTAGAAAGTGTCTTAGGTGAAAAACGATGAAAGCATCCGACCTCATTTTCTAGCCACACAATATCGGATCGTGGGGTCTCGTGGAGTTGTAATTCTTCCAGTATTTCTTCGACAGAAAGGGGATGCAAATCCCGTTCCAAATGTCTGCGCTAAAAATTATGTAGAATATGCAACGATACTCTCATGTATTTCACGATGCGTGACAGAAGTGCAAATTTTCCCTGATTTTGTGACCGAATGTCCATGGTAAGATACTCCCTGGTAGATGAGACAAGGGGTTTCTTAGACGGTGATGGACTGACATTCATTTGAGACGCGTTCTGCGCTTGAGGACGCAGTTTCTCAACAACTGGCATATTCTTTGCACAACGCAAAAACTCCTCCCGCTCCTTCAGTAGACTCGGGTCCATTCTTAGGGGCCCCACAAGCTTGTCACAGTGAGCTTACCACACAAGCCGGTAAAACAAAGTGCTCCTAACCAGTAGTAGCATCTCGTATAAATCGAAGGCCATTATGCAAAAGAAGACTGTTTCCGTCTGTAAATTAGACTTAGTCGATTTTAATTGCAGTGCTCAAATTTAAATCCAGAAATTCGGCAATGGATCGGTTTGCAAGCTTAAGGCATTTAATCAGATTTGTGCAATGGCTTTGTAACCATTAAAGAAAATTTGTGCTTTAAGATGATTCACTGAAACAACTAGACTTTCGTCGCAATGAACTACGCTTGAAATGTAAAGGACGGTGTTGTGTAATTTTGGTATCTAAAAACACCCTGAAAATGCCACTACATTTTACACGATAGTCCACTCATATTTTACTTACAAATGGTACTGCTTTGAACTAATTTCGAGCATTTGTCAGGGGGCTGTAGAAATGAGTGATATGTTTTCCCCAAGTGATTTACGTTTCGTTTACATTGATTAAAAGTACAAAGTGATAATTAAACGAAAAAGAACGGTTTGTTTATTCACTTCATTTTGGCTGCATATAATTGCGAACCTCTCCCCACCTGAAGAATCTTCGACCTTGCGATAATCACCCCCCCTTTAAGTCGCGTGCGTTCCTTAAAATATTGTACAATTCGCCAGACCTCTCCGTGATGCTTGATGTGCGTCCCTTCATTTGCCTCATTTGGTTATTCAAAGTGATACCTTTTGTTTAGTTTGTGGTTTCTTTTCGATTGTCGCAGAAAATTCAATACTTTTGGATGTTTTTTGCGTACTTTTGATTTGTTGTATTTTGACTTTCCACATGATGGCCTAATTCTGTGCCAAAAAGCAACTGTTGCAACAATCAAACCTATTATTACAAAGGTTTATTATACAAAGGTTTCGTTTGGTAGTCCGAAATTGCAATATTCATCAGCAAACCTTTGAGTCGGTGTAATCTTCGCGGTGATATACCTGACAATACTCCCACGAATTTAGACATCCGAGGTGGTTCGTTGTAAATTTAGTAACCTTAACCCTAGCCTTATCATTTTAGTGTAAAATCCCTCATGTCACTTTTAATTTCGCCTAGTGATTCCAACTGTGACGTTTGTCGGCCAGATTGGAGTTGCCATTTCTTCTTCCGGATTTAACTCATTCAAATCATTTCCTCTTTTTTTAGTACAAGTGTTTTATGATACCTTTCACTCTTGAGTCGTATTTTTTCGTATGAGGTCATAGATTAATGTGTTTTACATCGAAAATGAGTTGGATACTTCCCTTTTTATAATCTACCGTTATATGAGAAGAAATATAAGGCATAGATCGCGTATTTGGTTAGACTCCGACATGCACGTTGTGAAAATCTAACACTTTCAAAATTACTGACCTGGGTTCCAAGAACGGAGTTAGTTTACAATCTGAATCATTTTAACGCAGATCACTGCATCTCACAATTTTGTTTTCATTTGATTAATACAGAAATGTATTTCTTTGATACCATCTTTTATTTTTCCCATATGTTTTTCCATGTTTGTTTCACCAACATTAAGATACATACATAGCGCCGCAAGTCTTTCCTGAACTCGTAAGAAGTCGCATCAGGGTAGATGAAAATTTATTGCTAACGTGCGGAGGAGCTGGGGCTATTATCATGGCCTGGAGAGTATGCCGCCATGAGGGAGTACAATCTGCAAAGACTCAAGGACCCGGATGACCAGACGCATGGTTAAACAAACTGCTAAAGCAGTACATACATATACTTCAAAGTATCCTACTTTGAAAAATAAATAATCACGATACGCGTAAATATTGCTGACGCTCAATTTATTCTTTCAATATTTCATTGTCGCCGTAATTTGCGTGTTGTTATTTGTGCCTCTGCACCCTTTTTATATGAATCGGAAATTTAAGTACACGCAACAAAATTTAAGCAATTCTTTTCGTGTTTATTGTGTAAAAATAGATCTCAAAGCTGAAAGTTCCCTTCGTGGACATTCCACCATCTTCCTTCGAAGAGAGGAAGCATATCTTGCGTCAGTTGAAGACTATGCTCACTGACAATGAGGAGGAGTTATGCAGAGCCATCCATACTGATCTTCACAAGGTTGGGCATACCATAAGTCCCCTCACCTCTTCCTTCATTAGTCCCGTCTAGAGTGTTTGGAATGCGAAATCCTCCCATTGAAACTGGAAATCACAAATCTCATCCACAATTTGGATGATTGGGCCGGTGAAAAATACGTAAGCCCGGTTTTTCCACACACTTCCTCCTTTTTTATTATTTGTGAATCAAGGCCTTATTCGTGCATTCGCATTTTACGATTAAGATCAGCAGATTTTCTTGTTTTGATGATTTTGATTTCTTAGCTTGCTTTTTATTTTTGGAAACATTTGAGTGAATAAACATGAATGAGATCTAACTGCAACTCAGGTTTTGCCAGACGGACCCCTTGTTGTTATTATATCCACAGCAATTGTTTTCCCTTCGTTATTGTGTCGTTACCAGAAAAACGTTTTTACATTTATACCTGATTAATAAAACACCTTTACATAGCTCAGGTTACCCCTAATGACCTTACAAAGTGTAGACCTATCAAGGTAACTTTATCGTAAGCGTAGGGTAGAACTGCAATGCTACTAGCATAGTTATGAGCATAATTATGCCATCAGAGTGGTAGCTGATTTGAGGGAAATTAAATAGATCTGTTCATTCAAATGTAACTTTTAAACAAGGTTGCTTTTTGTTTCAACCACTCTCTTCGGCTCTATTGTTAGTCCCTCTGCCTACCCTATCACAGGTTCTCCGGGTGGTTTTTACCCTTGATGTATTAGTAGTGTCGCAGTTTTTTAGCCTTTCTTTTGTGTCTCCAGAGCTTCAGCCATTTGCTGCATATGCTTTTTTCCTCTGGGGCTTTGATCCAGGAAGTGTGAAAAGTGTGTGCGTTCCTGCATGCGCGAGGGTCCTAAGTGATTGTCTTTGTGGTAGCCCAAC